ATAACTGCATAATGTTAAATGATACACACTGAAAAGCCAAAGTGTTCATTCTAAATGTAAAACAATACATTTGTCCTACTCATAGTCCACATGTGAGCGATTAGGTTCATGGCCTACTACAAGCTAGCTGCTTTACTGTGTAGATCTCTGTTAATGTAGCTAGTAATTATTACATTGTAATAAGTTGCCTTTATTTTTTTAAACAGTTTTCAAGTGGCTTCATTCGTGTCTTTAAGACCTATTCGAATACCCGTCTGATTCTTAGTCCTTCTTGACACCTCAGTTAAAAAAAAACAAACAACTTTCATCAGTGAATTTCAGCAGAATATTTTTCACTCTTGTGTTCTTTTTCTCTTCCTTTTAAGAAAACACCTTAGTGTGAAGTTTCCTGACAACCTTCCCATCACATTACCCAACCTCCTCCGCTTCATCCTGCAGCACTCTGGCTCTTTGCATCACACGCACAAACCGCCTGTTGAGACAGGAGGCCCTGGACACAGTCCTTTCCTTGGGTCAGAGTTTCTGACACTCCAGCGTGAAGTTCAAGCCCTGCATCACGCCCGGGAGCGTCTCTCCCAACAGCTCGCGCAACTATGGCGCGACAACCGACGACTGAAATTCGAGGCCCGCGCCTTAGAGACCGAGAATGCCGAGCTGCAGCGAGAGAGGCGGAGCTTAGAGGAGCAGCACCGGGAGAAAAGCCGGCAGCTCAGTGAGGCAGTGAGGCGGCTGCAGGAGCTGGCAGACGCCTCTGAAAATCTGCTGAATGAGAACACGCTGCTCAGGGTCCTGCTGAGGGCGCTGACGGACAGGACAGAGGCTAGAGAGGAGGCGGAGGTGGAGAGGAAAGAGACGGAGCAGAAAAGAAGCCATATGGCCTCCTGAGCACAAGCCTGCAGGGAACCCTGAGAATGAGGCAGAGCAGAGAAAAGAGAAAGGAAACCGGGCCAGGAAATGAAGTGAAGGTTAAATTAGAGGCAAGAAAAGCTGTGAGAAAATAAGGCTGACATGAGGAGATCCTCTTCAACTGCAAAAAATTAAATTTTCTCACAAACAAAAATAAAGAAAAGATGACAGTTACCATCTTCCAAGAAACACTGCTGCTCAATCAGGCAGGAACATAAGGAGAGATGAGTAGGGCAGGTGGGAAGGCAGTGAAAGAAAAAACACACAGCTCTTGTGCTGTGATCATATGAGCTCATCCAACTCTTTAAAGTTCCGTGCCAACTTTCCAATTCAGACTTCCCAGCTGTGATGCTGCGCTTGCAACGATTTATCGACTGTTTTATTTGTGAAGGAATAACAAGAGAATCTGGACACACCCTGCAGCCAAATACAGCTTCCTTTAATTACTGTAAACCAAGTGCAAGATAGTTTCTTTATTAAAAAATAAAAACACCATGGATGGGCTGGACTCACCTGCACCCTGTAACCAAAAGTCGAGGTTAGTACATTTGAAGAGCAGTGATATACTATGCAGTGTGAGTTTAAGTGATTCACCCATGACGCAGTGTTTCGCATGGAAAACCTCGCTTGGAAAGGAAGGCTACGATACTCTTAATGTGAAAATCCCAGACTTCGTGTCATATGTCTATTTAACCTTTGGGTGCATAAATGGAAATTGTAATCAAACACTGAGGAAGTCTGGACTTGAAAACAAATAAAGCTCTGAAAGAAGGCCCCAGGCACTTTCCAAGAACTCGCAGAATGACCTCACCTGCTCTTCTGTGAGCTGAGAGTCACATGACTAACCTCCTGGAAATATTCCCCATTAATTCCTAAAATTCAACCAGCATTGGCCCATGTTGATTCATTATAGTTCATGTGACACGTTTATGTTCTTGATTTGTTTTCATGCTTGTAGTTCTTGTCTTTTTAAGTTGTGTGTGAGTGTGTACTGATGAACAGATTGGCTTCCTTAGTGTTTTATGAAACATCAAAATGATAAAAACATACTGGTAGGAATTCCTTCAAAGTACATACTTTTACACTGAATAACAACTCTAGTTCTGAATCTAAATACCTATCTGCAATGGCATTTATAGTTCAGTGCTAGCTGACTTTTAGGAATTTATGAGTAGCTTTCATCACATTCTCTGGAAATCTGTAAAACACACCTATGTTTTTCCTCCATTGTTTACTTTAAAATGCATTTGCAGTACTGGTGGTGCAGAATTTGGCTGCAGGGAGAGAGGGCTACTAATAAAACTGAAGTAATTTCATGCTGAATACATGCTCCCCTCGTTTTGTTTGTAGCTATTAAGTGGACTCGAAACAATCGGTAAGATTTTTTGTGTTTTTGAGGGGATACAGTTGTTTTGTGAAACTGATCTATTTTTTACAAGAATTCTTGAATCACTAAATATTTCTATGTAACTATTCAGGTATTATTAACATGCTGCAATTGTTTACATGTGAAATATTGCACCGGTTTTTACTGATTAAAACTCTTTCTTCTTGTATTGATGTGCGTCTTTGTGTTTGAGCACAGTGTTGTGTTGAGATACAGTTGATATACCAGCTTTTACATGTCAGGACGTGATAATAAATAAAATAATGTGGTCCTTTGTAGGACTTAAAATGTTAGATGAACAACAACACGTGACATAGGATGCTGTGTCATTGTTTATTTAACACAAATTAGGCCAAGATTGAGAAGCAGTGTGTGGGAAACTAACTACATCCTTACTGCTTCTATAGGAAATAAGAAGGTAAGTAGCAGCCAGGCGCTGCTGATCAAAGGTGCTTGATTGACTGATCATGAACAAGCGTGAGCACCTTTGTGAAAGCTGATCGTCTGACAGTTTGTCGGTCTGCAGCATTCTGGGAGGGTTGTGAGGCACTTTCCAAACAAACTGTAGTTCATCATTATGCATTGAAAACAATCAACTGGTCTTCCCAAGAGTGAACATCCTAGCAACCTTGGCCCATGGTCAGAGTGCAATATTAAAAGGAGCTGCTTAAAAAACAAACAAACCCAGGAGCTACATCTAAGACTATAGCTGTCACTTAGATTGTTAAATTAGTGTTTAAAAAGTCCGTCACAGTTAAATTAAGAAACCTTGAACAAGTACGGCTTGTTTGGAAGAAATTTAGGTTTGTGAATTTTTATCTGAACAAGGCACAAGACTTCTGGAACAACCAAAAAGCTGATGTTTGGCTATTATGCACAGATACAGAAAACCAATGAGCACAAATACCTCATACAAACTGTCAAGCACGACGGTGGAGGGTGATAATTTGGGCTCATTATAGAGTCACAGGACCTGGGCACCTTGCAGTCACAGTAGACCATGAACTCCTCTGTATGCCAAAGTATTCTAGAGGCAAATATGAGGCCATGTGTGCAAACAACTAAAGCTTTGCCTATATTAGACCATGCAACCATCCCAAGCACAGCAGCAAATCTACAGAGGAACAGCTGAAAAATGAAAGAAAGTGTTGCAATGACCTTGTAACATGGTGGACTAATGTTGCCTGCATTGATTCATCTCCATGTTTGTTGTGGAAGTTGCACTGGTTTGGGACTGGTTTTGTGTGTCACATTTGCTCCATCAATGGCTGTGATGGGGTCTGATTAATTGAAGGTGTGTGTATTTGATTGCGATGATACTCTGGTCTACTTATAGCGCACGCTACACACACTGATATTTTGTCTCTGTGCGGGTATGTCATATAGCCAGATATAAGATGACTTGATTTAAATATATTAAAATATATTTATGTGAGTTGTAAAATGAAGATGCGGTGATATTTAGTCTCTCTGTGCAGGTTAGGGCTTACTGTATGCCGCAGCCTGAAGGCAGAGTTGGGTTTCTGAGCCTGGAGTGATTACCAGCCTTCTACTTACAGGGTGGTGGGTCATGGAGGACAACTCCTGATCCATATCTGGCTCTGGCCTCGGACCGTGTGTTTTATCCCTTCATTTTCTGATCATTGTAGTAATAAGTGATTACTTCAGGTTATGGCTCCTTCATCCACTGTTTAACATTTAGACTCAAATTTTTGTTGGTTCTTGTTATTAGTGTATTATTTATTTCTGGATTGTTTTGTTTGACCAGCAATGACTAAAAATTTACACAAACATCATCTTTTATTATCCAAAGCTTTAGTACATGTTTAGGGATTTCATATCCTAGGATTTCTTCCCCCTGAAATTTCCCAAAAGTTGATGACTTTTCCCCCCCTATTAGGATCGACCTTTCTCTTTGTGAAGACCCTGGTATGATTTAGAGGTGCGTTGATCTGCTTGTGTGCTTCAATCAAGATATTTATTTCTGCATTTTCCTCTTGAGATATTTCTAGTTGTTATCCAATTTGATAAAATCTGAAGTCTTTAAAAGTCTTTACTTTTTAATTTAAACTCCCTCTTGAGTTTATCAAAGCCTGTACAATGCTGTTTAAACTGGACACGACTGATTCTAAATTTGGGATCCAGTGTTTGTTTTCACATCCATATTTGTCCCAGATCTGGGATCATTCATGTGTTTTGATCACATTACTTCAATAACTGTTCAACAACTGATCATTTTTTATTTTTCGCTCCATCTACCTACTTGTTACACATTCAATCTGCATTTAAATTCTCTCAGTTTCCAAAGACAACCACACGTGTGTAAGGGAACATTTGGCATGAAATGATGCTGTTGCACAAGTTTTAGAATGTGGCTTTATAAATGCAGAACAGATATGACACTGTATGAGCATGAATTCAACATTGCTGTGCTCACCAATGGTTAAACGTCTCATTTAATTTGGAGCAGCGGGAACATGTGCTGCTAATTTCACTCTGAATGCAGGATTATGTGCCTTCAGTTACTGGTTGGGTGCAGCAGTCCTCTCAGAAATGTCTCTTCCATATCTTTTTGCATCGTTTAGCTCTGGCTGCATACTTTTGCACCTCGCAGCAGATATGATACACTACAGATACACTACAACACTACACCAAGTTATTGGTGTAGCAGCAGAACTGCATGTACACAGGAATAAGACTACACTGATGGTAGTCAGAAAAAGGGTATAAAAGTACTTGGGTTAGGGCTGGGTCAGTGAGGCTCACACTGAGAGTCCAAGGATCTCATGACTTATTAAGTAAAGGAGGCTGACGGTGAAGTTAGCCCTTTCAGCTCTGCACTGAAACCTCTTCTCGCTGTGGTCACATATCCTGTCCCCCCCAAACTGTAAGTACTCTGCTTTAACTCACAGATCAAGTCTAACACTGAATATCTTTTGTTTGTTTTTTTTTAAATTTAGGACAGCTTTGATCATTTTCTTAAGTTTTTATGTTGAAATGCACATTTTTTTAATGTGTGTACACAGGAAAAATGGCAAATGCACAAGTTCCTGTTGGTGAGTTTGTGCCATACAGTCTGTATTTATGTAGTACGTGTTACTCTTAAAGCTGAGCTCTAATTTCTGGTGATTTTATTTAAAAACCTGATTTGTTTTTGCATTTGCTCTTTTGGTGCTCTCTGTCCTTGTTTTTCTGCAGCTACGGTCGGTCCACTGGGAGACAGCCCGGTTCAGATCGCCTGTCCTAACTGCCATCAGATAGTCCTCTCCAAGGTGGACTACTCTGCTGGTTTGCTCACTTACATTTTCTGTGGAGGGCTCTTCTTCTGTGGGTAAGAAGAGTTCAAGCATTGTTTGCTTCACTATGCCACTAAAAGAATTTTACAGATTTCATACAGCTCCTCACAGTGTGGCTGGAAAACCACATGGAAACTGTTTGGAAGTGAAAACATGCAAAAGCTGGACTAAAGATTAATGTCACTGCAGTGAGTGAGTGAGTTTTTAGCAATGGATGGTATTAATCTGTCAAGCTGTTGAGCTCTCACAGATACAGTGTTTTTAGATCAGTGTTGGTGCTGGAATCTGATGTTAGTCTGATCCTATTCATTTCATCTTAAAGGAATCTTTCTTGTAATTCCTCTAGTTGTTTAGTACATGAATGCATAGGGAGAGCAAACAATAGCATTAGCTGAAAAAGCTAAGCTAACAGCCTCCAGCTGCAGATATGCAAGTTGGATCAATTAATCACTCAGTAATCAATAAATTACTGAGTGATGTAGAATTACTCTCCCACTATGTGCATATTGAAATTTATGCCAATGTGCACAATACTGAAATAACATTAAGACTTAAAAACATTGCTAAAGCACCACAGTGCCACATCTGGTGGTGCAGTGATAGAAAGAAGAAGGAGATGTTTGGTTTTAGTTATTAAACTTCTGTTGATGTGCCAATATTTTTTTTAAAGTGAGCACCACACGTTGAAAACCCTGGCGAAGTAAAGGTAATTCCTCTTCTGTGGATGGTTGCATGTTTACTGGTGTCCCTATGTTTTTTTTTTGTCACAGCTGTGGCATCATACCAGTGGGCCAGCATGTTTAAACTAGCTGCTAAAAATAAACCAAGCGTAATTATGAGAAACTGACTGAAAAATACACAAAGGCTGGATGCACATGTACAGATACTTGCTTTTAAACTGACGTCCAAGCTCTTGTTTGGGATACATTTTTAATTGATCCTAGCTGTTTTGGATCTGTCGGACCTGATAAATGTAAAAATGACAACTTCATTTTTTGAAAAGTATGTCCAAAAACTGAAATATGATATCTGCTGCCACATGTCCTGATATGGTGACAAAATATGACCTTACATGGGATAGTCCTGAAAATGAATGAATGGATCTTTGAAGGTTAAAAAAAATTTAAATAAAAAGGATATGAGTAAATAAATCTGACCATCGCTGCTGTCATTTCCAGCTTTGTTTTAGGCTGCTGCCTCATCCCATTCTGTGTGGACCGCCTGAAGGATGCCAAGCACACCTGTCCTATCTGCAAGACTGTACTTGGGGTGTATAAACGCTTATAACTCAAAGACCTGCATCAATTTATACATGGCTTTTTGCAAACAAAACACACTTACAAAAGGTCACACTAATGAACATTTCCTTATAATTGAATAACTGATAATCTTGTGACTAATTTGCTGTTGGCGTACAAATGAAATTAGGTGACCTTTTTAACAATTTCTCTCTCCAAACCTTTGAATATTAAAACACTGACACCAAGCAAATAACAAGCTCCAATGACTGTTTTAAGGCTGTTTAAAATGTGTTTATTATTAATCTCTCAAATACATTTTCATAGTAAGACTAAATAAAGAAAGTGCTATCATGAAAACTGCTACCCGTCACCCGAACCTGTCATTTTTCTGTTGAATCCTCATCCTTTTAACAATCTTAATTTAAATGGAACAATAAAAAAATAGAAAACAAGTAAGGCAAAAATATGACCTTAGAAATAGTTTATGAAAAGGTTTCAGGAAGATTTAGTCATCAAAAATACATCATTTACAATTTGTCTTATTGCACCTGCACTATTTTGTTCGTTTGAAGCAAATGCCCTTCTGTTTAACATTATTTCCTTCTATTAATGATAAATTAAAACAAAAAAATTATTTCAAGCCTTTATCCAGTTATCTACCATTTTATAATTCATATTCCAATAATTTTCCATGAGAAAAGTTGTCTTTACATTACAACATACTGAGAAGTGATGAGGAGTACAAGAAGAGCGAAGAAAGAGAAGCCAGCGTCTCGGACTGGAGGAGCTTTGCCTGGAAAGAAACGTACAGTCACATTAGGGACCAATAAAACGTTTTGCCCTTGATTTAACTTCTTTATCTGAAAGATTTGTGGAACACTAGCATATCAACCACACAAAAGCCTCAACAAGTGGGCTTTTTAGAAAACTGAAATCTAAAAACTGCTCGATTAATCACTGCCAGTTCTTTTTAAGCATCTTTTATAATGTATTTATTTATATGGTCCAATTCTGTCTAAAGGTAGAACAATATTTTGCATAGTATGCAAAACAACTGTCCATCATTAAAAATATATAAAGAAAATTAAATCTGTCTGTCTGCAAATTCCTACATGATCAGGAGTTGAGCAACTAAATTGGGCACAACTCAGACCCTTTAAGGTTCTTATCTACATCAGGTCTTTTGTTGTCATCATGTTGCCTAGCAGCCACATACCGATGGTTCTTAGTGTTTGTGCACCTATAACACCATTTAAAAATGTATCATTTTCATTTCACAACAGTGGTATGTAGTCAACCAAATATTTAATATCTTCATTTTTCATATCAAGTTGTGATCTTTACACAATCAATATGTCAAGTTTGCTGTAGTGCACGCTTGCACTAGTTTTTCTAACTTGGGATTTTTTTTATAATATGAAAATATTAAGTATTTACTGTATTTCATGCTGGCATCATTAATCACACTGCAGATCTTGCAAGTAAAAAACAAGTTCCCTTTCACCACCAATGTGTTTTTTGTTTTGTTTTTTTTTTCTTGTCAGTGCTTCTGATGTAAGATGATCTCTACATACTCGTAACAAAACACCAGGATATGAGACAAAAATGCTTAAAATGAGCAATTGAAAGATTTAATCTGCACCAGAAGGTCAACTGCTGGCTTAACATTTCATGTTTTCATGCTTTATTTCGGTTTCCTTTACTTCTTGTACTCCCGATCAACACAAATCCCTTCCTGCCCACACTCTTCCTGCACAAGAATGCTCTATGTGCAGACAGTGTGCCATATTAAGTGTTGAAATGTGGTACTGCTGCTTTATCTGAGGTGTTGTTCTTTGAATGTTTTACCCCATGCTACCTTTTGTAATACTTACCCGTGGTGCTGTTGGATCCAGTTGTTGATTTTGTTGTTGAAGTTGTCCCCGATGTTGTTGTTGAAGTTGTCCCTGATGTTGTTGTTGATGATGTGCCCAATGTAGTGGTGGTGGGGCTAACCTTGCCTCCTGTAAGCCCCACGCCCAGGCCATTAAGTTCAGACTGAAACTGTGAACTGATCCAGGTTCGCACCACTGTCACATTTTCATACGACTTCAAAAGTGGGAGGTTGGTGCCAAGAAGACCTTTAACATCACTAACAGTCAGGTTCTATGGAGAACAGAGCAGACACATTTTATTCTATGAGCAAATAAACACACTTACTTTATTCTTTGACAGAAAAAAAAATGTACAATTTAGTTTTAAAACTTATCAGGCCTGTCCAATGGTTTGAGTGAAGTAAATAAATTGAGGAACTATGATGCAAGACCCCCACCCCAAAATAAATAAAAAAAATAAAAACCTTTTTTCAAAATTAGTCTAAAATTCAGAATTCAAAGTGCAGACATGCAACACTGACCTGTATAACACTCTCAAGCAGCCCAGTGAAGGTCGGGAGGTCCATACTGATATTGGTAGACACTAAACCTTGGATAAACCTAAGATCTGCACCCACTGCAAGAATGGAAAAAAATGAGTGGTACGTTAACTTTCAGCTGTTTAAATGATGTTTTTTGTGAATGTGGGTCTGTTTGCTTACGTAGGTAAGATTGTATGAGCTGGTAACTGGAAGTGGAGATAGTGATTGAGCGGGTGATTGGGATAAATGCTTCATATGCGAGGGCAAACAGTTCTTGCTTTTTCTCAGTGGTGCAGCTGGATATGTCCAGGGCATCGGCGGTCCTGCAGGAGATAAAACACACAGGAATGGTGTGTTGAGTTTATGGAATTCATATAACGTTATTTATCATTAAATCAGACTTTTTTTTCTAGTTATCTAAATAATAATTTAGAGATTTATGTGGGTTCACCAGCCTTTGTAAGTGCAGGAACCCTGACAGACCTTTAGCCAACATGTTCTTGTTCAGATATTACCTGCTGCTAATGTGATGTAAAAATAACCTCCAAACACACACACACTCATGCACAGTCACAGCTCTGACGCCTTACTTGATGCTTCCAACCGAAATGTTCCTGATAACAACAACATCCAGGGTGCACAGGTTTGGTCCTCCAATGGCGTTGAGCCCCACACTGCTGAGACTGTTCCCCTTTACACTCAGATACTTGGAGATGATGGCTTTGGCCTTGATGAGGAGAACCAAGCATTGGTGAGAAGACACAAGCATGTAAAGTAAGCTGACGTTCAGATTTTTTCTTCTGTTTACTCACCAGAACCGGGTCCCACGGCCCGTTTGAAGCATCCATCAAAGAAGCGAGTGTGTCGATCTGAATAATACTCCACATGTTGATGTCTGCCAAAGTGGCACTACGGGACATTGCTCCTAAGATCTGAACCTGTTCTTCTGGGATGATGCCGCTGGCATTGTAAGCCTATAAATTTGGGAAAGTCAGAAGATATTTAGACTCAAATTTAGATAGCAAACTATTCAAAGAGAAAAACTGCTGAGAACAAACAAAACAATGCAAGAACACCTCTAAAACAAAACAAGGATTTAGGATTTGAAAAAAAGTATAGACTCATGCTTAACCGTCTAAAAGATCGTCAGCAAAAACTGTAAACTCTAATCATTTAACTTCCTCACATGTTTCTGTGGAATTTTAAAAATAAATAGCCACAAAAAGTAAGAGACCAAGAGAGAAGAAACCCCAGTCAGATGCTGATAATATCACTTAACCTTGTAAAGCCCGAATTATGAGGTAATTGCCAGGAAATTATGTATATTTTTTTAAAGTGGAGTGTTTATTGAACCTTCCTTTTGGATCATCTTTGCTACATCTGGCATTTCTCTACAATTTATTTAGGTTTATCAGCAGAAACAAAACTGACCTGGTGATGTTGAGGTCTTAAAGACTCACAAAAGCCATGTATTAAATATGACACATGGTATCACAGAGTTAAAATTTTAAGGCTTAAAAAATGGAAGTAGTCAGCGTTGTGGACTTTGCATGCCCTCCCTGTGTCTGTGATGGTTCTCTGGCTTTGTTCGAAAGTCCAAAAACATGCATGGGGTTTGGTCGAATACTGATTTTAAACTGACCGTAGGTCAGAATGTGTGTTATGTTTTTCTGAATGCTTCTGTGTGTTAATCCTGCTCTCCAGGAGGGGCCTAACCTGCCTCTAAATCTATGCCAGCTGGGATAGGCTCCAGGAGGGTTTTTTTGCCACTTACCTCTCGCAACTTGCTGAGAACAATCTTTGTGTAGTTCTGCTCCTGCACCTGGTTAACGAGGGCATCCAAGTTGTCTTTGACAATGGTGGAATTGAGGCAGCTGGTGAACTGATTTATATCATAGTTTAAGGGGAATGTTAGATTAACGAGAGTCACACGGGTTATGAATCCCAAAGTGCAGTCAGTGGCTGAAACACAGAAAGAGAAACAATTTTTGGTTAAACAGTAAATTCT